CCCCAAAACCCCAAAACCCCAAAACCCCATTTCGTCCTCCTAATTGAGACCTTGTTAATCTGTTTTTGGGATATTTAATCTTAGATTACCGGCCAGCATTAGAGGTTCTTTGGGTTAGCATGAACTTATGCAATCTCTTTCTGTATAAGAACATTTCGAAAATCTATAGCAAGTAAAAAGCCAAGGTGTACGTAATTGTAACTGTAAATTTATTGATTCTTCTTGTTGAAGGGATGCTTTTAGCAGCCTAATTCTGGATATTTTAGCAGTTATTTTGGCCTCAAGAACTTGGTTCCCCAGGGCTACAGACTGTATAGACTTCTCCAACGATTTTCGATCGTTCGTAGGACTAGTAGGGTTGTTCAGCAGGCTTGCTGAAAGATTTGTGAAAGTACCCTGTCTTAACAATATTTTGCTACAATTTGTCCTTTGAATCAGTTTAGTTGGGGTTTTAGGCTCAAATTTATGAGGAATGCTGGTACCCAGCTTTGGAGACATTCTAAAGATATACCTCTTAATGCTTACTCAGGCATGAACTTTAGTCCTGGAGAGTTGTAACATGAGTTAAATGGCCTATATATAACAAGTGAGTATTTTCTTCAGAACAGAATCAGTTAAAATAGAGATACTCAAGGAAATCTTTATGACTAAGAGTGCATAATTTAACAAACCCACCTTAGACTTCATCAAATCTGAGGGTATTTAGGAACCAAAGAGGTTGGCACCTTTGAAGAAACCCTTTGCTCAAGTTTCTCAAACTGGCTGGGGTCAGTACAAGTCGTCTTCTCTCTCGCAAGAGAAATATTCTTTGGTTTAGGTGTTTGTATCTCTCTATAATAAGGGATTAGCTAATATTGTATTTATAGAATCAGAGAAACAGACGAGAAGGGTCCAAAGCTCCCTGTAGGGAGTCTCAACCAACAGTGATAAATTCTGTTACTTTACCTCTTACTGTGACTATGATAAACTTGAATAGGTGCTGGTCTTGGCTTCTTCCCTATACGAACAGGCCAGGTGTAAGTGTACATAAATATTTCAAGCGGTTAAAAGAATCCTGAGCTGGAATTCCAGATAAAAAATTTAAACTAGCAGAAAGATCCGTGCTATCTATCGATTGATTACTCTTTTCACATTTAGCTGTTGTCTTCGGAGTGGCTCTAGAACAAGTAATTAAACTTCAAATATTATTTCACTAGGAAGTTATATATAGCTAAAATTTTGCAGATAATCATAAATTAGAGATCCTTCCCTTAACAACACGTTAATAAGTGGCGAAATTAAAAAGAGGTTTATAGCCAAGTCTTCCCTCATAAAGATATCTCAGAACCACATTTCACTTACTTTGATAACCGATAGAGAGATCATGGATTAATTGGATTCTTTGTGGGTGTCTGGGGATCTGAATATCTCAGTAGGTTGACTCTCTTGGTCAGAGGCTTTTTCACAGGAAACTTCAATGAATTCTGCCCAGATATCTTACTATATTACTCATGAATCCATAACACAAAAAGAGGAAAATTAAGCGAACATACCTTGGTGATGTATTCCTAGAATATTTATTGGAGCGATGGGATTTTCTCTTTCAAAATACTGGAAATTTCTCGTGAAAAGAGGCTATGGATGATGACACAGACTCTACTCTTAAGATTCTTCATCTCCTTGTGTGTTAAATGTGCCCGGTAAAAGTTATGTGAGGTTGCTAAATTATAAGAGATAAGGTGAATGATTCAGCCACCAAGATAAGTAGTGCCATTATCATATCCATTAATAAATGAAAATCTAAAGAACTATACAGAATTCATGGACTAGCGGGTATCTTAAAGTGAGGCATTAAGGGACTTACTGAAAAACTCTTCCTTAGATTTTGACCTGTGGAGCCCAATTCCTGATTTCATTGTGAACAATTTTCAATAAATTATTTACTTTATGGGGTTTTGGGGTTTTGGGGTTTTGGGGTTTTGGGG